CGAACCCAATGACTGTTGCTGGGGAGAGCTGAGCGTTCTATCCCAGAGGGGCCAGGTGGGGAAATGCAAAAGGTTTAGGGTATGTCTACACTGCAATCATGGCACGTGACTGCAGCTCGTCTAGACAGACCGGAGCTAGTTTAATCTAGTTAGCGCTAGATTAAAGCTGCAGCAGCGTGGGCTTCAGGCTGCCCTAGCCTCCCAAGTAATTGTACAGCCCTCCTGGGCTTCACTGCTTAATCCAAGCTAGTCCAGGTGTGTTTAGACTAGCAGCAGTCACCCCCCATGATTTCAGTGTAGACAAACCCCTAGAGAACGGGAGGGGAAGTGGAGGGGAGGCAGGTGATAAAGGAACCGTAACTCCCAGTTTGGAATGTAGGAGAGAGACGGGTGTAGGATCTCAAACGCTGCCAGTGAGACAGGATGTAGCCAGGCGAGGTGGGGATAGTGAGGCTGTGGATAATGAACCTTGCAATGCAACTCTGTGGAGTGAAAGTGACAGGTGCAAGGAGACCCCTTATTTATGGCATTGGCAGCGTGGGAGCCAGACATCGAAACCGCTTCCCAGCCGGTGTTAAAGTCAGTTTAACCAGCATAACTACTGCACGGTTATTTCCCTTCCGTGTACCCTGTGAACCTCCAGGCGCCTGGGCTGAGCAAAAGGGGGGATTTTGACTTCACTTCACAGCTAATTAGCTGCCTGGATGCCAAGTCCTCTGTTTCGGTCTGTGCCGACTACTGCAGCTATGTGTGCCACCAGGAGCATGTCGCGCCTACCGCTTCCATGCCTCCCTGCACGCAAGCTCTGACTCCCCAATACGTCTGACACACAGGCTCTTTTCCATCCAGCTCTCCTCGCTCACACGCTGCGTAGGAGTTGGCGAGCCAGTCCCAGAGCAAGGAATTGTGCCAGGAGCAGCTTGTGACCACCCCCAGGCCCCAATGAGATGAGAAGTTCACTAAAATGCAACATGTCTGTTCCCCTGGGAAACGGACCCTGTTGTTGTTGTTTGAGTCCAGAGAGGCCTACAGGAATTTCAGCTCAGGAGAGGGAGAGGTCGGGAGGGGGGATTTGGTCCAACGGCTCCATGCTGGTGTGTTCGGGATCATCCACGAGCCATGTCTGTGGGACGTTAACTGGTCCCGCCGTCAAAGTCAGGGCCTGAGAAACATCCCCGCAAGACAGTTCTTGGTCACAGTGATCCCCCGGCTTCGGGGAGTGGTGTCTGGGCCTGCGAAATCCACACCGGGCTTGCTGCCCCTGCAGTGGGATTCGGGGGGTGCAAAACAGGCTTTGCACCGCCACTTGGTTCTGTGAGTGCAAAAAACGGTGGTACAAAATCACAGGCAGGGGCTCTGGTTTTAGGAACTGTCCCGTCGGTTCGACGTGAGCCCATTGTGCTGCAGTGTTGCCATGCCGTGGCGAGCTGATGGACGGCAACGTGGAGACGCCCAGCTCTGTCCTGTTGGATACACCTGGGAAAGTGGCAATTCTAAATTCCCTTCCTAGGATTCACCTAGCCAGCCAGAACCTCTCCACCAGGAAGCAGGGCCTGGCATCGCTCGTCTCATATATCAGCAGGCTGGAGAGGCCCTCAGCAGCACAGGGCAGCTCTCCTCTGGCATATCTGAACAGCCCACTGTGGCGTAAAACTCCAGTGGTCTGGAGTCCTTTCTCCTTCAAATTTGCCATCTAAAATCCTGCTAAAAATGATCCATCCCTCAGCACGAATAAAAACCCGCCACACCTCCACCCCTTCCCTCCCGCTGCTCTGCCCTGACCCATTATACAGAAAGAGGGCAGGGTGCCTGGGGCTGGATTGGAAGGTCCGTGGCTAGCTGGGGAACAAATCTCTGGTTCCACCAGCGGGCGCTTTGCCACTGGCTTTCCTCTGGAGACATGAGTCACCAAGGAAGAGACGACCCCATGCCCTGCTACAAATCACCTCTTCACACGGCTGTCAGTGGATTGGGCCATTGCCCCCTTGGCTTCTAAGGCTTCCTATTATTATTATTATTATTATTATTAGGGTTGTGGTAGCTCTTGTCCTGGCCCAGGAACCCCCTGGCCAGGTGCTGGACAAACACATAAGACATCAGAACAGCCAGACTGGGTCAGACCAAAGGTCCATCTAGCCCAGTATCCTGTCTGCCGACAGTGGCCAATGCCAGGTGGTGCCCCTGAGGGAATGAACAGAACAGGGAATCATCACGTGATCCATCCTCTGTCGCTCATTCCCAGCTTCTGGCAAACAGAGGCTAGGGACACCATCCCTGCCCATCCTGGCTAACAGCCATTGATGGAACTATCCTCCATGAACTTATCTAGTTCTTTTTTGAACCATGTTATAGTCTTGGCCTTCACAACATCCTCTGGCAAGGAGTTCCACAGGTTGACTGTGCATTGCGTGAAGAAGAACTTCCTTTTGTTTTATTTATTAATTAGCACAGGACAGAAAGATGGGCCCTGCCCCAAAGAGCTGATAAGTGACTAATAATCCCTGGTTTTTCATCTTTAGCCCTCAGACACGTCCCAAAGAAGGTCAGTATTATTCACCCCGACACTGAAGACAACAGGTGGATATAGACAAAGTGAGGCGCACAAGGAGACAATGAGACAGTACGAGTCAGGGTCAGCATGATGGGTACTGGTGTTAGCACACCTGCTGCCTAGCGTGTACCCTGCCTCGGCCCATCACCCCCTCCCATCGGGGCATCGTTAGGGGACGTGCCCAGTGTGCATTGTGCTCTCACTGGGGTGAAAAGCACCAGCCCGATTGGCTGCCCTCCTGCTGACACAAAGCCCGTCAGTGACCCCTGCCGTCACTCACCTGCTCAGCTGCAGGTCTGTCAAATCAGCAAATAATCCAGCTGCCTTCTTCCCTCGTCTTTATGCAGTCCCAGCCCAGCCCCTTTGCAGGACGGACTCCGATGGGGCAGCTGCTCCCTTGCCCCAGCCCAGTTTTTTGGGGTGCAGAGAAGCCTTCAGTCTTTGGGGCACCTATCCAGACTGACCCTAGCTCCGAGCCCTGCATGGTTTGCCCCCTCCCCACAAGGAAAAGCCGGCGATGGGAGGGATCCGGAGTAGCAGTACCTTTGGCTGCAGCCTCTCGCCCTCCGCCAGGAATTCTGCACTCCCCTTGGACACGGCAGCCAGCCCACGCACCAGCCTCCTGCAGGCCTTCTGCCCAATGCCGAAGCTGTAGCACCTGGGGAAAGATGGACATTCAGGATACAGGTCAGGGGCAAGGCGCGGGGGACATTAGAGCAGGAAGCTGGGTGTAGGATCAGACCCCTACCCCCTGCTAAGGCTGGGCAATGTAATAGCATTGAACAATCCCGGCTCCCCATGACTTCAACGGGAGCTGCAGGTGTTCAGCCCCTCTGAAATCAGCCTCCACTGAGGTGCCTAAATGTGCAGCGAGGCAGCCAGATGTTTAGCCTCGACTGCTCAGCCCCGGTTAAATGGGGACGAAATGACAGAGGGGGATGCCGCCCTGAGCATTGGCCATGGGGCACCCCCCTCCCTCTACCTCCGCTTGCCGGCTTTTGCAGCAGCTCCCTCTCTCTCTGAATACAAACAGCCTGCTTTTGTACGGGGATCAGCTGGTTTCCCCAGCTGAGTCCTGCGGTCGATACCGTTAAAGACCCGGCGATTAGCTCTGCTCAGGATTCAAATAAATTTTCTCAAGGAAAGAACAACCAAGTGCTTTCCTGACCTTCCCGGCCCTGCTCAAGTGACCTTTTCGTTGTTGTTATTGTTGCTTCTGGCTGAAACCTGTGATCAAGAGCAGGGCCGGCTCCAGGCACCAACGGAGGAAACACGTGCCTGGGGCGGCACATGCTAAGGGGCGGCTTTCCGTCCATTCTTGGGGCGGCACAGTCCGGGCGGCTTTTTTTTTTTTGCCACGGCAATTTGGGCGGCAAAAATGGTAGAGCCGGCCCTGATCAAGGGTTGGCATCAGGCAGGAAAAACCCTGGGTGTGAGCAAGCCCCTCTGCAGCCAGGGGCCGGGGCCTGCCTGGCTAGTGAAGGGCAGGGAAGCACTGGTCTCACTTCATTGGCTAAGGGCTCAGCTCTGCTCCCACTGATGACCATGGGAATTGGGCCACTGAGCACAGGGAAATGACCAGCTGTTCTAAGAGAGGGAGGGAGGGAGGGGATGGACAGAAGTCAATGGAAGTTGCAGGTGCTCAGCATCTTTCAGGATTCGTCCCCGTCTGTTTAAGATACACTCCTGCCTTGGAGCAGGGGTTTCCACCTCCCCTAGGAAAGGTCTGTCTAGGGACTGCTGAAGAGGAAACACAAAAAGCCCCCCCAGCACCTCGTTCCTCTCTGCTCTTCTCCAGCCCTGCCTGTCTGGAACACCGTGCGCAATCACCTCCCAGGGCCTGGGAGCCTGACAACTAGGGCTGCTGCGAGTCTGAGCAGGACCTTCCTCCCTCGGAGTGAGGGGTCTGGAGGTCCCACTGGCCCCACAGAAGGGGAAGGAAGCGGGGGGGGGTGGACACAAGAAGGGAAGGAGACTCTTCGAGGATGAGAGGGAAACTGATCATTTCTTTTTTGTTCTGTTTTCGCTGGTTTCTGAAACTGCGCAGCAGCCTGTCCAGTGGGAAAGGTCTGCAGCCTGGTGCTCCACCTGATTCGGGATCCTGTCTCTGATGGGGGCCAGCACCAGCTGTCTCAGGGGAGAGCACAAACCCCTCCAGAACCCACCTGGCTTTGCAATACGGTGCCCTGCAGGGCGGGGAATTCCTTCCTCGCTCCCCGCCGATGCCCCTCATCTCATGGAAAGGCCTGGTGGTTTCATTGTGTGGACAGAATGGCAGATCCTGTTATTCGTGCCCCTTCCGAATGGACTTAGGGCTCGTCTGCACTTGGAACTTAATTGGGATTAAAGTAGGGGGTGAATTTAAAATGCGCTTGCTATTCCCCTGATAACTACATGTGGACAAGACCTTAGTAAACATACAGGGAAAGTTGCTTGATTGCATTTCCTATCAATGCAAGGAAATCACCAGGAACGGCAACATTAACATCCAATGCACACTCAGTTCACATCTTACCCCCCCCCTCCACACCCCTCAAACGCTCACTGGCCCTGGAGCAAGTGTGAGCAGTTGGGTGCTGATACTTACGTTTTTCATGCATTCCAGAGGGACTCAATCCCCACCCTAGCTGCAAATCTCAGCCCGGCCCCCCCTTAATAATGTCGGATCCTTTTTCTAAAACCATCCCAGGACACGTGACTCAACGATATATAGTGGCAATGAGTTCCACAAGTTCTCTTTATGTCCCATAAATACCCTGCATTTCCTTTAAGCTGCTTTTCACATGTTTGCTTTTCAGAATATTTGATTTTTTTTATGCTGCCCCGCACTAGACCCAGCTGAGACTCAGAACCAGATGTATTAAAAGACTGCAACGAAGACTGTTCTCGGGTCAGTCCTGCAAACAGAAGACATCAGCGAAGAGGCTGCTCTAGTGAAACTGCCAGGCCCAATTTCCCTGGCTCAGATTGTCTGGATGACCTTCCAGAAAAGCATCTGAACTTCTGGGATCCATTCCAAACCCTGCTCCTACAAGCTACCATCCTGCCTTTCATTCTGAGTGTGGGATGACTGTGAAATATAAGATGGAGGCCTGCTGCTCGCATTGCACTCCAAGTCCCCTACATGCTGGTTTTTTGCCCCTATGCCAGAGGATCCCAGAGTTATCCATACCTGGTGGAGAAAGACTGATTCCGCAGCAGCGCAATGACCTTCCCGGTGTTGCTAACGGCTCCGTCAGTCAGCAGGAAGAGCAGGCGCGGGTGGCCTCTGTGGATGGGCTGCCGGATGATCCACTTTAAAGGGGATAAGATGTTGGTGCCGCCCATATCCGCCCGGAGCTTCTTGATGCTCTCACACGCAATAGCCAGACTCTTCTGCAAAGGGAGCAGAAGCGCCCACTAGTTAGAGTTATTGTGGTAAAGACTGATTGATGCTGAGCGCTGATATAACACTTTTTGTTTAGGGATCCTGACGCTCAGTTTGAGATGACGACACCCCCATTTTAGCGGATGGGGGAAACAGGGGCCTGGTGAGGAGAAGTGACTTGCTGCGGATCAGACAGCAAGTCAGTGGGAGAGTTGGGAATACAACCCACATCTTCTCAACTTTTGGTCACCTGCTCTAACCACCAAGCCATGCTGCCTCTGTAAAAGGCACGCACCCAATGCGTCCGCAGCTACTTTCTGTAGGTGAAATTCACCCCTCGCGGAGGGCAGCGCAAGGCATATGCAACACAGAAATCCCACTTAAGCTTGATTCTTTAGGACTTAAAGGGGGCTGATGCCTGGGCCAGTGCAGAGAGAGTCCAGGAAAGGTGAGTTCCTAAAAGCCATGTGATGGAAAGTCAGAACCTCCAAACCTAGGTCACTATCTTGGCCACAAAGAGAGGGGTTCTGGTGTCTCAGAGGTTCTGTCCTCTCAGATTCATGTCCCCAGTGTGGAAGGATCTGGGATATTAGCACCCCTCTGTTAATACCTGCCAAGGTGAGCATAGCAGCCCAAGTGAAGGAACTTGGACTCCAGAACAAGGCCAGAGGATTGTGGCTAGTGGTGTGTGTAGCTGCTTCACACAGAGAGGCAGGGCAGTGAGTGAGCTACACAACCAGCTCCCTGGACCAGACGGTCCCAGGGCAGGGCAAGGTTGGCATCAGCTGCAGCACATTCCCTGATACCATCCTGCAAAGGCAGCATCTGAGCTGCAAGGCCCCTGCCCTCTTCTGTGAGTGCCAATGAGTTCAGAAATGTCTTCACCCACCTCACAGTAAGTTTGACTGGAAGGAAAGAGGGTCTTAAAGGTCGACCCAAATCCGATGACGTTGAAGAGGCATGCCGGTGCCAGGCTCTTGAGTATGACCAGCAGGGCGTCCTGTGAAGGTGAAGGAAATAAAAGTGAACACATGTCAGGAAGCCTGATATCTGATTGGCAGCCTGAGTTTTACCAGCAGCACTACCCTCCTGGCTTTCCTTCTCCACGTTCACTTCACCACTACCCTGCATTTGGCTCATGCAGTTCAATAACACAACAGAATAACACTGCTTGTTTCACAGAATCATAGAAATGCAGGGCTAGAAAGGACCTCAGAAGGTCACCAAGTCCAGCACCCAGCACTGAGGCAGAGCCAAGTTAAATCTAGACCCTCCCTGACAGCTGTTTGTCCAGCCTGTTCTTAAAAACCTCCAGTGATGGGAATTCCACACCCTCCCTTGGAAGCCTCTGCCAGAGCTTAGCTACCCTTAGCGTGAGAGAGTTTTTCCTAATTCGCTAACCTAAATCTCCCTTGCTGCAGATTAAGTGCACAACTTCTTGTCCTACCTTCAGTGGACATGGAGAACAATTGATCATCGTCCTCTTTGTAACAGCCTTTAACATATCTGAAGACTGTTAACAGGTCCCACCTGAGTCTTCTTTTCTCAAGCTTGGATTTTTTTTAACCTTTCCTCATCGGTCAGGTTCTTTAACCTGCTTATCATTTTTGTTGTTCTCCTCTGGATTCTTCTAATTTGTCCATATCTTTCCTAAAGTGTGGCACCCAGAGTTGGACACACAACTCCAGCCAAGGCCTCACCAGTGCTGAGTAGAGTGGGACAATTAGCTCATGTCTTACATACAACATTCATAGAATCATAGAATATCAGGGTTGGAAGGGACCTCAGGAGGTCATCTAGTCCAACCCCCTGCTCAAAGCAGGACCAATTCCCAACTAAATCATCCCAGCCAGGGCTTTGTCCTGTTAATACACCCCAGAATGATATCAGCCTTGTTCACAACTGCATCACATTGTTGACTCAGATTCAATTTGTGATCCACTGTCACCCCCAGATCCTTTTCAGCAGTACGACCACCTCGCAAGTTATTCCCCATTCTGTAGTCCTGTGTTTGAGTTTTCCTTCCCAAGTGAAGTACTTTGCACTTATCTTTGTTAAATTTCATTTTGTTGATTTCAGATTATTTCTCTAATTTGTCAAGGTTATTTTAAATTCTAATCTAATCCTATTCTTCACAGTGCTAGCCTCCCCTCCCAATTTGGTGTCATTCTCAAATTTTATATGCATACTCTCCATTCCATTATCCAAGTCTTAAGGAAAATTCTGAATAGTACCAGACCCAGGTCTAACTCCTGCGGGACCTCACTAGATACGCCCTCCCAGTTGGACAGCGAACCATTGATAATGACTCTTTGAGTACGGTCTTTCAGCCAGATGCACACCCACCTTATAGTAATTTCATCTAGACCACAATTGCCTAGTTTGCTTTTACGTGATTCACACATTAAGAAAACACTGCATGCATCTGATTGCTATTCTCCTCCAAAAAAGCTCCTCGGGACAGAGATAGGTAGTATGCACCCGAAAATGTAAGATTTTGAGGGATGGGTTTTAATAAGAGGCTTTACAGAACTTTAATAGAATTGTTTTCTTGAACTTAAAAAAATCAATGTAAACCATTTTTGGATAGAAATCTTCTTTGTGAATGCAGCTGTGTGTATTGTGTGAGAAACTATCTGGTGTGTTTTTTTTACTTGAGCAGAGTGCACAAAATAAATAAAACAGCATAAATACTGAAAACAGCCATTTGTTTTTTAATTTTTTTTAAAACTGCTCTCTCTCAGTGTGAATGATGCAAGGTGTGAATATCAACACAGGTAAGGTTGCTTGATTTTCCAATGAATGATTTTTCACCTGAAAAATTCTCTTT